CGCGGTGGGGTGCTGGAGCCTATCCCAGCTGTCATTGGGCGGAAGGCAGGATTCAATTTTCAATTCTTTAATTTATTATTTTATTTCAAAGACTTGATTGAGCAATTCCTCCCTACAGCACAAAACACAAGAGATTTATATCATTACTCTAAAAAAGTGGGAACTTCATGCATGTTTTCATAACGAGGGTTAAAATTCAATATTCAATGGATATTTCTTGAATCAAAACACAAACAGAATTGTCTAATTTTCCATTTGTTTGTTGCATTTTGATGCTTTATTTTGTTTTTGGTTCAGCTGTCAGTTTTGTGTTCGCTCATATTTCAGTAAAATGTCTTTACTTCTATTAAGGCCTTTGTGAGGAGTGAGGGTTGTGTGGGTTTTGGGTGTTGGGGAGAAGCCATCTTTTCATGCTGATTTAGGGCCATATACTTTACACATACCCATCCTATAAGCATCATGAGAAAAACTGTAAAACTGGATTTAACTCAGAGTATCAGACCGTCTTCTCCAGCTAGCTGTGCACTCGGGCTCTGTCGACTGTAGTGGTCTAAAACTGGCCTGAATAAAACATGCTGAGGGTCAAAAACAGGTCAGGAGCTCATGGGGTTTAATCAATAGGACCTGAGATGTAATTAATATCTCAATTAGTCAATCAATCAATCAATCTCTCTTTCTCCTTTTCTCTCTGTCTCTCTCTCTGTCTCTTTCTCTCTCTGTCTCTCTCACTCTCTCTCTCACAGGCTGCAAATGGCTGAGATGGTAAAAGAGGTTCAGAGTGGAGTTCAGAGCTGACTGGATTACTCATCACACTACACACACACACACACACACAGACACACACACACACACACACAGACACACACATATATAAATGTGCAAATGGACCATGTTTATGTTTTAACATTATGTACATAAATTACTCATATGCACACACACATGCACACTTCCACACATCCTGAAGGATGATAAACGAGAAAGAAAGCAACATGTATAAAATAAGTGTGAGTCGCTCACTCACTACCACTCATGGACTTTCATGTCCAACAGAGACAATAAGTACTGAAGTGAATTAAAAAAGAAAACAAATAGCTTAGCTCTGCTGCAGTAAAAGGAACTTTATCAGGTGTAAATAAACTAGTTTGAAGAACTGAAATGGAGAAAAAAGAATGAAAAAAAAATGAGTATAGTTTACATGAAAATAATAACAATACTCACTAATGTTATTATTATTATTATTATTATTGTCATTATTATTATTATGGTAAATATCTTTTGAAAAACTGTTTTCAATTAAAATTTCTACTTTTTCTTGAAGTATGGGAGACGGGTTCAGGGGTTTTTTGGGTAGGTTTTAATACTTGAGCTATTTTTTATTTATTGATTAATTTATCAAATTTTAAATATATATTTACTGTAAATGCAGGTTTTAGGTTGGTTGGGATGCAATTTCTTAATTTTACATTGTTCATTTTTTAAGAAATCCATTTAAGCAGATGTATGACTTTGTAATTGAACAATTATTGAACTATGAATTACGATGATATTTATTTCTTATTTATTGACTAATTTTTGATTGCGTCTTTCTTTCTAATTCAAATAAAATACAACTATGATGCAAGACATGTAGAATGTCTATTTGTGCACATATCTGTGCGTGCGTGTGTGCGTGTGTGTGCGCGTGTAAACATGTACATCTTCCCTGCTAAAAAAAATAAATAAAAAATAAATTTAAAAACCCATAGAAACCATTAAGTGTTTCTGTTTTTGCTGATTATTTACCTCTCGACGAGTCGCTGCTTGCCTCCATGAGCTACTCAAGTGCTACCCAATCCAAATGGAGGAAAGGGGAGAGTAACTGCTAGCCAATGGGAGCGCGAGAGGGGCGGGGGTTTCCGGAATACGGGTGGGGAAAAATCATTAAGACGCGCACCTCAGTTCGGTCTCACGTGCTCCCCTCCTCCCAGTGTTCGATTCAATTTACCCCACTGATTCTTTAGAAGTGATTCAGGGAATCGAGTGCTCGATTCAACAAGTTCATTTTCGTACCGACGGATCAGTCAGATCAACACACCCACATGGCAGTGACGGACCATTTAATTCCCTTCACCAGATGTTCTTTAACAACCATGAGGTTAATAAAAGTGTGTTATGTACACCGATCAAAATTCGTCAGTGCAAATGTATCAAATTATATTTTATTTTTTTCAGACTTCTAGATTTAAGTGGCTCTTGAGTGGCCGTTTGTCTAAAAACAGTTTAATGTCGATTTTTCAATCATTTTGTCATTATTAAAAAGTATAAATGTAATACCGGGCACATTCATATTCACATTTTCCGATTGTCAGTCTGTATCGGTCATGTATCAGTCAGAACTCAACATTGTCGTGTATACCACGAAAAAGTTCGGTTCAGTTTAACTTTTTTTTCTGATAAGATCCAGTTCAAAAGAACCGATTCGCTCAGGAGTCGGACACCGCCAGTCTCGTTCTCCGTGCCTGCTGTGCTAACGGCTCACTTTTACCTCAGAGAGAAAATAACGGAAAAAGCTGAAATTAAAGGAAAAAAAGGTCGACCTCTGTTTTAAAAAGTAACGGTCTTTACCTGAGGAGAGTGAACTAGCGTTAACGTTGGCTAGGTAAAGCCTCCCAGAGAAAGAGTAAAGAAAGCAGCTAGGCTAACTTTCCAAACTCTTTTATTTTCTCGCTAACGGACAAACAACCCGGTGTTAGCCAAGCTATCGCTACCGAAACTGGAAAAAGTAACTTTTTTTTTCTTTTATGCCGGGACGGAGATGAGGACAGGCGGCAGAGTCACTGAGACTTGACCGTGAAACCACCGAGCGAGCGGAGCACCGAGAGAGCCGCGCTCCGGACCCGGACACCCCGGGACACTCGACCGGGCTTCAGCAGACTTTAACCGGCCATTTGCAGACGACTGTGTTTAAGGGTTTTTTTCAGAGTGGACCACCGACAGGAGAGCCGTGACCAAAGTGAGTAGCGGTGCCACAAGGTTCCGTTATATTAGTGGAGTTTTGGGCTGGGTTTAACTTGTATGTGTGTGTGTGTGTGTGTGTGTGTGTGTGTGTGTGTGTGTGTGTGTGTGTGTGTGGTCGTGTGCTGAAACGGTCGTAACTTCAGTCCCTCAAACATTGCTGCGTGAAAACGCTGGAAAACCTTTAGCTTAACAGCTGATAGAGGAGTATGTCTGTCTATTGTAGTTACACAGCTTTTCAAACCATTCACTTTAGACGCTGAATAATAGGAGTTTTAGCCATAGTCAACGTAAATGTAAAGTTTTATCAATCGCTTCATAAATGCATTTTATTTGTTATTGACTATTTATTATATAAATAACTATCTGGTACATACGATAGACGCTCTTCCTGTAAATATTCAGTTTAGCAGCTGAACAATAGGACATTTTGACATCTGTAAGTCTAATTATACGTTTTGTGTTGATGCTGCTACTGAGTAACATACCAATTTAACAGTTGTTTTCCAAGGCCTTTAGTTTTGTGTAGTAAATGCGTTTCTGGCCCGTATAGTGGAACTCCTGTCTCCTTAACCATGGTCCTATCAGAGAGAGTTGTTTGGGTATATATACTGGAGGATGTGGGTTTGTTTCCATTCTTCATCCAGAGAGTGAAAAGCAGGACCCGCAGCAGTTTACACACCGACATGTTGGTAGTGATGGATCATTTAATTCCACGCATTAAATATCCCACAACTGTAGTGCTTCAGTGAGTGCAGTCGGGAAGCTTTTAAAAAATTAGCATGGGCAAAAGGTGATTAGTTAGCATTACTGCGTAATATTGGATATTTTTATTTTCAGTGTTATTGTTGAATAATTAGGATTGAAAAAATACACTAATACTGGCATGTTAACTGCTGTGTTTTACTCCCTGGATGAGCACAGGAGCCAAACCCATGTCTTCCAGTGAAAGGACCCCAAGCCTCTCTCCTTGATGTTCCAGTGAACTGGGTTGGGCTACTAAACATTGCTCTTTGCCCCAAGACTGTGTCGACCACCTAAACCTTTAACCTTCATAGAAGGGTAAATAATTTATCAAATCGTCGTCTGCTTTAGAAGGAGACAAAGGCGCTGTGCATTCATTGTTGCAGGGATTGTCTTGAATTCGATCGAAGTCATGTTTGCATCCTTTACATTGAGCATTTGTCCCCAGATCATTAGATTACAATGTACAAGAGGACTGATTGTTCTCAATGAATATGAATATAACTGGATCACAGGAACATGTCATGACTGATGGACCTATCATAAGCAGTGCACATGCTGCTGTTTGCACACACAAACTCTTCCTGAAGCTGTTGACTCAGCTACCATTAATACTAATAGTAAAGTCAACCCACCACACTGTAATCGCTCCACCACATACAAATACACTCCTTCATAGTAATTACAGGTAAGCAAATGATTGAGGCAGAGGATCACAGGGATCTGCTCTGTTTGTCTGTGCCCCTGTGCTCTACAAATATTTGGTCCCACACATTTACTACAGATATGTAGGATATGAGTTTGTCGAGCTCTTGCTGCAGACACAAGTCAGATGTGTTTGAAGTTGATAAGTTTGTTGAGAATATTCCTGTTATCTCGAGTTGCTGATTAAATCCTTTTAAACAATGCATTATAAACAATGACCGCTTAGCTTTTTCTTCAGATTTCCTGTGTATGAACTAATCCTCAATAATTCTCCAAGTCCTGTTATATCTGTATCAGTAACATCATTAGTATGGAATTGTTTTTGTTTTTTACAGCTACAGTAAGCTTGTCCAAATACAGCTCCGTGTGGGGTCAGTTAATTCTTAAGTTAACTACAGACATATACACAAAAGCCATTTTCTTAATAAACTGCTGGATTATGTTCTGCACGTTTACTGCGAAACCTTGACTGATTTAGGTGGGACATTCAGTTGCATGGCTTTGAGAGAATGAGAGATGCATAAAAAAAGACAAAAAATAATAATAGCAATAATAATAATGGCCTCATCAGCCAGTTTGTAAGAGACTGTCTGAGGCACTTTAGGGAGATACAGGCAGGAATAGACAAACACCAAAATTGCACTGGCCAATAGGGCCACCAAGCCAATAAATCTTGTGGCCAAATTAAAACTTTTGACCAGAAGAATAAAAACATGTTTATCGTTTATACTTTTTATTTACAATTAAGAAACCTGTTTCAGTACCAAAAAACAGTCAGGTGTTGCTTTAAAAAAGTAAATATTTATTAAAACCTGACATTAATATGAACATTGCTGTTGTGGTGACCGTGGTTGTTCTCTTTGCCGAGCTGGTCCATCCTGATGTCATCCAGTGTAGGTTATGTCATTAAATTCTGTTTAGCTACTGCAGCCATAGCCTTTTAGTGTAACCCCGGTTCACTGAACACTCTGTTTTATTTAAGACCTTATTTCATAGAGCGATGTTAGTAAACGTAGTACCCTGGATGCAAATAATTCTCATTGTTTTGTATTAATGTTTTCAAATTTTTAAAATTAATTTTAAAAAGCAGCGTTTACCAGTCCTGATTGCTTCAGAGCATTCAAAGACAGTTTGGATAATTCATCAAAGTGATCAGTTATCAATATGTTAATCCTGTAGGAGTCACACAAGGGGTTCGGTTTCCACCTTCAGCTTTTCAGTTATATATATAATGGTATATAATGATATATATAAAATGATTAGACGTTGTGTTAAAATGATGATGGACTGGATGTCTGTCTCTTTCACTCTGAAAGGCTCTGATGAGAGGCCTGTGTCAGATGATTAGGCTGCTGTGTTTTACCCGAACGAGTGAAGATTGTTTTACCAAGAAGTTCCTCAGAACTGAAGTCTCAGAGCCTTATTGCCCTTTCTGAGCAGCAGCTGAAATGGGACAACTGAATCAGACATGACTAACATGAGGCATCATTAGCGCGTGTGTATTTGAGAGAGGGAACCTCAGGGATCTGCAAGTAAGCACGGTTGTAGACGGTTGTACGTGAGTCATCAGACTGGACAGCTGTCATGCTTACAGTACAAAATGCCTCGCAACACACATTAATGCACAGACATTTACAGTATTTAAAGGCAGTTTGGATTAATAAATGAACAGAAGGTACAGATATATGTGATGAGAAAATATATTTTACTTCAGCTGAAAAAAATAAGCATCAGACAATTTGTGACTGAGCTGAATATTCATTTCATAATCTGATTTAAAACAGTCCCATACCTACTTTCTCACTATCTTTCGTCCTGTAAGGAAGAGAGACTCACACATGCTCATACACACACACATACACACTCTCTGCAGTGATAGGTCAGGAGAGAATGGCCAGAGTGGTGTCACATGACTGGTATAGCCAATCAGAGTGCAGGATACCGGCTGTCATTGAGGAAAGTGCTGGACTGAGCTGAAGTGTGGGCTGACGGCATTCTTATCTGAGTATGTGCACTCCAAAGGGGTTTAGGGTCAGACCAGGAGACACAGAGAAGTTACTCATTTGTAAACTTATCTCAGATTGGGACATTATGATGTGTTCAATAAACTGTTGCATCAAGCGTAGTTTTACCGAATTAACCCTTTTCTACCAGTGTTATACTGAATTGCCCCAGCTCTTAAAATGCTGTATTTCAATGTAGTATTCCAAAGAATAGCTCAGCCAGTTTGTATTGAAGTCCCTGTAGTTACTGAATAATAAGCCTGGAATGTTAAGGGGTTAAGTCTTAAAGAGAAATGCTATCTCTTGTCCTGAGTTAGCAGATTAACGGTAAATGTCTTCATCTTTCCATTTGTAGACATGTTAGGCACTTATCTGTGAATTGTGGATGACATTTTGCTAGTCACATGGCTGAAACTGGACACCACATAGAAAAAGGAGGTGATCTCTGTGCAAAACAAACACTTCTAAGTGACCACTGATGGTGTTTGCACTTATGTTAGTCAAACCTTGATGACTTGATAAAAAGTATAGATTTTCTAACATTTCAATGATATGTCAGCTTTGAAAAGTATTAGATAATGTTAAATTTTGTAAAAATATTAGATTAGAGTGCCACACAATGTGCATCAGCACAATATTTTTATGTCATGTCAGTCTCCCTGTTTAGAAAAATTGATTGGTGTTCATCAGTAACAAACCATCTCTGGATTGCAGCAAGCGTACCACATTACTTTTGGGCTTATGACTCTGTTGGCTTTTATGTATGAGTCAGTTTGACTCTCATCTAAGAAACATGTGAGCTGTCCAAGGGAAAGTCCTCTCTGCCATCAGTAACCTGCTCTGTGCCATTTTATGCACTCTCTTTGGTTCATAAGGCGCATGTTAGTGATTATACTACAAATGACTAAGTAACAACTTGTCCTTTGTGTCGCAAGCAAAAGTGAACTGCAGGACAGTAGTGCACTACAGCTGGTGAACTATTGTGACTTTTTCCCTTATCTTTGGATGATTACGTCAACCTAGTTCTCTCTCAGTGTTTGTAGGTTAATAGGTGAGTGCAGTGGTAGGCCTAAGTTACGTCATGACGGTGAGCTGAGGTTTTTAATACAGTTCTGCCGTGCCTCCTGCTAATAAAAGTCTTATGGCACTACCTACAGAAAAATTCTGAATTACCTGTACCGAATTAATACCTGCAGTAAGCTTTAGGCCAGTGTGTGGGTAGCATAGTGACAGCAGTGTCTAGAGCAGGGGTGTCAAACTCAACCACTAAAAGGGCCATATTAAAAAATCTCAGTGAAGGCCAGCGGACGCCTATGTTTTTATTTCATTTTGCTGTAACCTAAACTGGCTATTATTTATTCAAAATGTGGCAAAATGTCAACAGCAAAATAGAGGTGTTGTAGTGGGCTTTGCTGTGTTACAAGAAAACATGAAATATTTAAAAAATGGCCCCAGGAAGTAGGTTTTTTAAGCCTACCTATTTTCTTGAACTAGACATCTATTACCTTTTCTTTGCTGCAAGTTCATTCATTTTGGGGATCAGTTT